CAGGTCTGTTTCTCAGGAAGGTTAGAGTCTCTCACAGGAAACCCTAGATCATCTTCCAGCCGGAACTCGGCAGTAAGGAGATGGAATTCGACCCAAAAGAATGAATGTGGGACCTGCGGGCCACCGGAAAGTCGAGGACAATAACAGAATACGACGTAAAGTTCGGGTATAACCTCGGACTACAAACCAGGGATCCAAATCCAAGGCTGACAGAGAAATGGAGAAGCATACTAAACCTCACCATCCCATGGACCAAATACCTTCTCATCAGACCATACAGACTCCGCAGCTTGCAATGGCTATTAGCACATGCAGCCCTTCCTGTCAACCAATGGCTACACACTAGAAGGAAACATTCCAACCCTGATAGCTCGACTGCTGCTCAATGTGCAGCAACAACTTTCCCGAAGACATCCCACACTACCTCCTCTTCTGCCCAGAAGCAACATGGGTACGGAAGAAGGTCCGCGAGCTGTGGTCGATCCTGTTCGCTTCACCGCCCCCTGACATTCCCCCTCTCTCTATCCTAATCCTAACTAACATCCCAAGCAACATCACAGGCAGCAGGGAAGTATGGTTCACCCTGCTCAGGAAGCTGGCACTGTGGGTGATATAGAAACGCAGATGCACTCAGACAATCGAGGGTGCAGAGGTGGCTAGGGAAGAAATGTGGTCATTACTCCTGAGCATGGCACAGACTGAACTCAGAAGCAGATGGCGGAGAATAGTCAACTCTATAAGACACAAACCAGAAGGACAAGCAACCAAGAGACAGACCTTCATGAGGAACTGGCTGTTAAAGGGCAAGGTGGCGACGATAGTTGACAACAGGTTGAGGTGGAAGAATTGGCACCAGGCACAATTATGAAGTCTTGAAGGTCTCCTGTCGGGTGCCCTGGCAGAAGGCCAAGAAGACCCCGAAAGACGATCAGCAACAAGGCAAACCGGACTCACAATTAAGTACAAGGACGAGCAATAGAACACTGAGCGGACCCCCCCACTCTTCTCGCATTGCAGGGACTCGTTCAACAGGCTCTGAACAGAAACCTGAGAGGAACAAGTGGTCAGGGCAAGCTGACAGCCAATCCTCCTTAGAAGGGGTAATCAATGCTGGTCAGGGTTCCTTCGGCCAGACGGAAGGAAACGTTGAGTGGGTAAAACTATGTATTCTTTCGACTTGCCGGGGGAATAGGAACCGGACTGACGCTCGACAGAATGGATATGGAGCCAGGGCCATAAGGACCTGTTAAAAAAAAAAGAAAAAAAGAAAAGAAAAGAAAGTGCCACCCTTAGATCTTTGCCTCGGTTTTGGATAACCTATAGCCCACCTACGTACTTGTATTCAAACATTCGGGAGAGGCTACAAGCCACAAACCTCTCAAACTGCAAAAATTGAGCCACAAAGCGACAAACGCGAAGGGACAACAAAACAAACGAACAGCGAAAGTGCATCACAAAACGACACAAACGAAGGGACAACAAAACAAACAAACAGTGAAACCGTACCAGAAAACGACCCAAAAAAAAACGGAACGACGCTGCGTCTTTGCCATATTTACGCTACTGCCCAAGTGCAGGTATGTACTTGTGTTTTGACAAAGGACTGCTGCACACATGCAAAGATTTGACACTTCGCACAGCAGACCACAGAATAGCCCACTGGCAACACCTCCCTCCACATTTTTTTGTGGCTCCGCGAAAAACGTCATGCGAGGACCACTTTTCACTTTATAAGTACAAGTGGAACCAGCCACGGCTACGCCGTGACTCACAGCAACGCTCACTGATGGCGTCTTATGACGTCTGCTCTGTCCGTTTCTCTCTCTCTCTCTCTCTCTCTCTCTCTCTCTCTCTCTCTCTCTCTCTCTCTGTGTGTTTCTTCCCGCGTTGTGTTTG